CCAAAAAAATTAAGAGAACAAGCACTTCTGGAAGGGCAAGCCTTTTTTTTTGGTGATTTCAAGAATGTAAATATCGACATCATGAAATGATTGTCCCAGTATTTATGAATGAGCAAGATTTAATAATTTAAGTATATAATTGTCTCTTGATCTTATTCCTTCATTGTGCCAGTCGGTATAGTTTTATTTATTTTTATTGTTTTCATTGTATCCGAATACAAATAGTATCGATCTCCTACCCAAATTTTAGCTTACTTAATATTTGAATTCAAATTTTTTTTCAACAAGACCTATTCCCAATTTAAATTATATTTTTATTATCTAAAATTTATTTTAAGGTTTTACTCGTATATGGTCCCTATACTTTTTAAATTATTTTGATTGAGATCTTGTTTTATTTTTTGTTTTGATTGAGTTTTTTTACTTTTCATTTTGTTTTATTTTCATTCCTCCATTTTAAAATCATTAGTTCGTGAGCAAGCATAGCACATATATTTATAAATGCATGACATATGTCATATGTAGGATCTCAATTGAGAGATTTAATCGAAACAACTTAAAGAATACAAAAACTCAATCAACACAATTCAAAGGATAAATGGATCAAATTATTATTATTTAATTTTTAATTTATAAGTTATTGTTTTTTTTTTTAAATCTTAGCCTAAATGCACGACATTCGTCATATGTGAGATCCAATCAAATTAACACTATGAAGTTTTTCTTAAAAAAAAATTGATATAATTAGTAAAAAATAATAAAATAAAACATGAAGATCCTAAATTAATGACTTAACTTTACTATTTATACCTAAAACTAGGGTTACATCACATATGTGTCAACCTCACAAGGCCACACGAGTTAGTGAAATAAGTTATATGGTTTGTTGATTAATGTTACATGGTTTGGAGCCTTGAAGAATAAGTGTTACTTGGTTTGCTAACTAAGGCACTCGGCCATGTATCTTTGTTCTTCATTCTATGTTGCTTCCTTACCGCCCATGTAGACTTTGCCTTTAAGCCGTGTTGATTCTCTTCGTCCATGTAGACATGTTCTACCCTTAAGAAACGAACGTGTGACTTTATACCGCAAACCATGTACAATGTCTACTACTTGTGTGGTTTTCTTTTATCTTGGGCTTTGCCAAGTCGAGACGCCTATATGGTCGTGTGGGATTTCTTCCTCTAACCGTGTAGAATGCTACCGCCCGTGTGGTTTGTATTACTAAGCAATTCACATGGTTTCTTCCTTCATGTCATATGGTTAGTAGCTTTTCTCTTTGTTGTTTCACACAATTGTGTGATTCCTCTAAGCCTATTTGAAGTTTTCTCTCTTCCTTGCTTTGGTTTTGTGTTTTCTTAATTTGATTTGTCATTTTTTTTTGTAAAAATCGAAGTTGTCATCTTATTCTTAAATAGCATAATATATTATAATATATATTAAAAAGTTCAATGTAATAGAAAATAAAAATTATGCTAATTATGCACTCATCATATAGTTAAACATTTTCTCAAAAGCCTTCTTAGTCTATTCCTCCACCTTTCAACTATTAACATGATAGGTAGAAGATCCCTTATCCAACTAGAAAGGCATGTTTTGCGGTACCTAGTGTAAGGAATCGTCAAATATTCCTCTTGAGTACTAAGCCCTCATACCACCAATGCGAGCCATGTTTCTTTATTTTACTAGACAAGTCATCCAGGACTCATTAGATACTTCATGTGTTCATTATGGAGATAATATGAAATCACTACTTTATGTGCTTAGAGTATGTTTGTAGATTTGATATTGCAGAACTTCATGCGGCTCAAATTATTATTGAATTTTTCATATTAAATTTGGAAGATTTGTTTATTATGAATTTTTCTTGAAAGTAGAGGATTGTTTGAGACAATTCATAGGACCTTTGGTTTGGAATATCATGTTGGAAAATTTGGAATTGGAGAAATGATGTTGTATTTGATGTTGATTTTATATCACATGCAAATTCTCTTTGTTATATGAGAAGATTGGCTATTGATACTATATCTTACACCAAAGTGACTACTACCGGTATTCATCTTGGTTCGAGTTAGAAGAGGAAAGAACTTTTTGGATGGTGTTTTTCCTTCAAAGATAAAATCAAACTCAATAAAGATGGCTTGGTTTTGATGCAATCTAGTATGACTATGGTAGAAGGTTCACCGAGGAATGCTTAGAGTGCCCGGTTATAAGGGTGAGCAAACGGTTCGGTTAATCGAAAACCGAATAAAACCGAACCGAATTATGAAATTTGGTTCGGTTTTAAATATAAAATTATACAATATAAAATCGAATCGAAAAAATCAAAATTATTTCGGTTTGGTTCGGTTTTTAGAAAAAAATTTCAGTTTCGATCGAAAACCGAAATAAATAGTAAAAAATTTTCTAATTTCTAAATCCCTAACTTTTCAATCTTCATTATTGTTGAAATTGAAACACGCAGATGAGAAGTAAATTTTGAGGACCGTTGGGGTAAGAAAAGAAAGTGACATAGTGTAATTAATTGGGATACAACGTGTTTGTATGAGCAAATTTATTACACTTGGACTCGTTTTCATTAAATTTTAATTAAAATCTTTAAGGGCTTTATGATTGTTTATAAAAAGGATTAATTGATAACAAGATGTTACTTCATTGGCTAGTGGACTAAGTGCTAGTACAAAATATCTCTCTGTAATGATTTTTTTTTTTACAACAAAATATTTTGGTTAAAATCGAAATATTTCGAAACCAAACCGAAATAATTTGGTTACAAACCGAATTTACCAAATTTATTTCGGTTCGGTTTTGGTTTTTATTTTTTTAATTCGGTTAACCAAAAATCGAACCGAATTGTACAAAACCGAACCGTTTAATCGAATGCTCACCCCTACTCGACTAGGAGGTTTGCTAGGTGTTTGTTTAGTTTTAAAAGCGGAGTTATAGAATATTTATATAGGTTTGAATTTAGCATGGAATGGAGGGTATAAATAGATGGTGTTGGAGGTGGACTCTAAACTTGCAATAGATTTGATTATCGAAGGTGCTAAGGCAAGTAACTACTACTCCTAATTAGGTCACTTGATTGGTCTCATGTTGAATTGCCTTTAGCAAGTTCAAATTCAATATATATATATATATATATATATATATATATATATATATATATATATATATATATAAGAGAGAGAGAGAGAGAGAGAGAGAGAGAGAGAGAGAGAGAGAGAGAGAGAGAGAGAGAGAGAGAGAGAGAAATCAATCGTTATGCGGGCTAGTTAGCTAATCATTATCATTTCTTGGAGACATGTGTCTCTTACTTTCCTGAAGCTCTATTAGTATGTGTTAATCTTATTTTGAATTATATTTGTGGGGTTACTATCTCAAGGATGATTCACTTGTAATCTTTTTAAGGCATTGCTCTACTTCTGAAAAATAAATAAATAAATAAATAAAATAAAGGTATACCATTTTTCTCTTTGCAAACTACTCATTACATAAGTAGTAAAAAAATATACATACGTACATACATGCACATATATGTAATATCAATAATTATGCAATATCTCAAGGATTAATTCTTGCTCTCTTTGTTTTAAAAAGATAGTATTCTTTGACTTTTCATGATGTTTAAGAACTTTATTAATTATTATGTAATATCAATAATTTTTTATTTATATTTTTCTAAAATACTATTTTTTAAAAAAATTGTTAGTTATCATATTTAATTCTACATTATATAAAACTAATATTAATTTAAAAAGAAAAATCTATCTAATATTAAGGTGGTAAATCAAAGAAAAAGTTATTAAGTTAATTAACAATCAAATTTAAAATAATTATGAAAAAAATACTAATAGAAATATTTTAATCCTATAGTTTGAGCATGTAGTAAAGTCTTTAAAAAAAAATTAATATTTTTTATGTAACCAAAAAAAATTGAAATTTTCATGATAAAAATATTTGTATGTATAAATAAATATAAAAAATATTAATTTTTGTTGGTGAAGAACAAAAAATGTAAGAAAGAATTGATTTTTTTATTTTTTATCAATTACAGATATTAAAAAATATATTATTTAAAATTTTGATAAAAACAAATATTTTAAGACAATTATAAATAGAAAGGAAGACAGTTTCGTTGGAACAAATGAAGTACATAATTGATAAAAAATAGGGAAGAAATTGTAAATTAATACACGAACATGCTTACTTCATAAAATATTAAAAATCAAAATTCTCGATCCTGCTGTAGTATCATTGGTTACAACTTCCAATTTGCAAGTGTTAATTACAAGGAGCACTGATAAGTTAAAAAAATAAAATAAAATAAAAATAAAAATTGTCGAACACACCTTTTCTCCTCCCACTCTAAGCAACATTTCACTAGCACGGATTAACATGTGCAAAAAATTGTCGGTAGTGATACTGATCCAGCCCACAAGAATTGAGTTCAATCATTAAATCCGAATCCCAAGACAATCAACAATTCATCAATAAATTAAGTAATCAGCTCATTTTTTGACCTTGAATCTATAACAGTTAATAAAATGTGGAGTGAAAGGGAAAAAAGGAAGATTAATAGTTAAAGTAACATGCAGGCTCAAGAAACATGTACTGGGACATTAATTTTCTTGATGGTGCATGTATGGAAGTGATGCCCTGAATTTTAGTGACTGATGTATCATACATTTGAGCCAATATAATAGTGAGTATATAGTGACCTTTGAACGAGGAGGGCATCGGTACAGAAGTGAAAAACAAGAAATTCAATTTATAAGATGAGAAGAAAGAAACCTGCCAACCAACAATATCTAATGACATCTATATTTATAGAATTCAATCAAGTATTTGGACGGTAATTCAAAACTAATCAATTGAACAACCCCAACTCAATATATATATATATATATATATATATTCCTCTATCCTTTATTTGTTCAACCTGATTCATGATAAAGAAATAAAATATGTTTTCTTTTCAGTCTCGAAAAATTTAAATATTAACTAAAGAAGGAGACATTTTCAGTCGAAATTGTGCTATAATCGGCAGCAGTACTACTGATCGGTTGAGTGTACATGGAAGAAGATGAGGAAGGAGGAGGAGGTGGTGTTGGGAGCGGTGGCGTCGAGGGGGCTGGTGATGGTGCAGCAATCGAAACAGCCCCAGAAGAAAGCAAAGCTACATGGGAAGAAGGAATTATGTTTGCTTCCCTATATTTGTATTTCAGTATTTCATTCCTTACTGCATTAAGTTCGGCTTGCAAAGATTGAACTTGCTGTTGTAAGGCTGAAATTGCACCCATGCACCCATAAACTGGATCTCTTAGCCTCACATTAGCCTCATAAACAAGACTATTAGCTGCATCAGCTCTTTGGCTCTCTGGAACCTCCTGAAAAAATATCCAAATGCAGATCATATAATTAAATCGAATGCATGTGAATTAGGAACGCGAAGGATGTATAAAGGTAACCGTAATATTTAATAGGTTAGGGCATAAGGGTTTTACCATCAGCATCTTCGAGACGTTACTGGCCCCAAAAACTTTGTGAACAGAAGCAAACTTCTGTGGTTCATGTGGAGAGAAATATGGAGAAAATGGGCATTCTTGTGCACATCTCCTTCTTAAGAGCTTACAAGCAGCACATGGAGTAATTGTATTTAGGGTTCCAGGAGGGCCCGACATGTGTCTTCTACCCCTTTGATGAGAGGCATCTGATTCTCTTTTGAGCTTCTTGCCTATCTCATCAAATCTCTCCCTATGTAGGATGGAGGAGGGAGGATTATAAAATTAGTAAAACTAATCAAATAAGTACTTGGTGATGATACAGAATAGTTTGATTGACAAATATAATTGGAATAGGGAGAAGTTAAGAGTTGTTCTGGTAGGGAACTTTTTAATGAAATTTTGATTCAAAACTTAATCATTGAATAAAATCAAGCTTAATAGAAGTATATATAGAAAGACTAAACTCGCAGAAAATAAAGGGATTAATTTTGCATTAAAGAGAGAGATCTAGAGAGAGACATAAACATAGAGATTTGTACTTCTTACCTTTCTCTGGACATTCAGGCATGCTCTCTCAAAATATTAAATTTATGGATGAGAAATTAGGCAGAGAGAGAGAGAGAGAGAGAGAAAGAGGGGCTAGAAGGGAAGAAAGAAAAGAAAAATAAGAGGAGAGAAGAGGAAGAGTAAGACAGTGCTTAAAAGGCAAGATATACGTAGAAGGAAAGTATACCAGCACTGTTTAAGTTAATATTGAAAAAAAAAAAAAAAAAAGACAAAAGGGATACATATGATCAGTACGTAGACAAGAGACTCATGAAATGAGAAAGGGTAAATTGCTTTAATTTTGTTCGTTTGCTTGCTTGTCTGTTCAGTGCTGCTGATGTTATACCGTGGACCTCTGAATTCTGATTGACGCACGAGGATCTCAAGAGTTACAGTAATTTGCAGAAAGATAAACACACTACGTCTAGGTCTAGTACTGATCTATGTCAATAGAACTGGGAGAGGCTATCCATCCCCTATCTACCCTTCGCAGCAAGAGAAACAAAAGCTGTACTACTTATTTATGTTATGTCCTATGCCAGCACTCTCACTGCTTCCTCACGTGTGAATCCTTAAATGTGTTTTGACTTTCTGGTATCAAAAAAAAATATATATATATATATATAGGAAAGCATTGTTATATATATATAGATGTATTCCCTTCTTGCCTAGATTGCTTAACAATGCTTTCCTATATATATATATATATGTATATATTCCCTTCTTGCTTAGATTGCTTAACAATGCTTTAATGGTTACAAGTGGTCTAATTTGCTTGTTTAAATTATCAGGATCAACATGGTGTGATACTCTTTTTCTTTTCTTTTTTTACTTTGTTCGCATGTTTTTTGTCAATTAATTATGCCACCTTAATTAAGAAAATTAATTAATAGTATTATATATTAAAGAGTTGAAGAGCAAAATTAAAGGAAAAAAAGAAGAAGATGATCTTTAAATAGTCCTCATGAACTGTACTAATTAGTTTTAAGTCACCGGCCTTAATTAACCATATATATGGGACGAGTGGACTCAAAGGGTCTGCAGCACTGGTGTTTATAATCAACCATCTTCAAAGAAGGGATTGCTGTATCTACACGGCAAAAATTATCGATATTACTAAAATTTAATTTCTCTGAACTAGATCCCAAGATATGATCTTTACAGTGAGAGTGGGTCGTCCTTGATTTTGACAAGAAACTAACAAACATGCACATATGCATATTACACAAAAGTTGATTTCAATATATTTTTATTATAGAGTAAAAAATAATAATAATAAAGGTTACTATCAAGAAATATACTTTAACCATGTCGTTCAGCATAATTTTTTTAATTAAAATTCTAGCCCACTCGTGAAATAGCTTAAATTTTGACATTATATAGGATTTAACTTTCATTATATTAGATTCTTGCTTGTTAACTCTATTTTTCAGAAGTTAGTGATAGGATGTCCTTAATGGTTTTTTTTTTTTTTATTTACAAATTAATAGCAAGCATTTTTTTAAAATAAACTTAAACATCCTCCATGATTGCAATCTTAGATTGTACTTGATTCCCTTAGAAAAATACAAATATTAAAAGAAGTGACTGTTAAGTTATAAGAAATTTATGAGTGAAGTGTTGAGCATGTTTGATAGAAGTTTTTTTTTTTAATTATTTTAATAATGAGTCTTAAGTTCAAATACATATGAATTAAATTTGAGTAAATGATACTAAAGAATTTATGTACTCAGATTTAATGATAATTAAATGCAGCTTAAAGAGAACTTGATTTTCAATTTGTGAAAAAGATTTTTAAAAAATCATTTTTTTTTTTTGCCCTTGCCAATAATTTAACATATAATTCTGAAAAAAGGAGTAAGGGGTTAACTTTTTTAAAAGTATTTAACCTCTCATTCCCTCGTCGATAAAAGAAAAGTAAAAATCAAAAATAAATTATGTGGTGAAAATTTGGAGGAGAATGGTAAGTAATGGGGTATGTTACAAAAAATCATAAAATAATGATCGATTTTTTCATCGCTATATCGTCAATATCTATCGTTATTTAGCTTTAGCGATGTACTTGCGACAATATATTTATAGTAGCGAGATGTGATCATCACTATTTTTTTATCAACAATTTTTTTTCGTCCCTAGTAAATCATTGTTAATTTGTAAAGTTTTTATCGGTAAAACGAAGTAAGCGATCGTCCCTTTGATTTTTTATCCGTCGTAAAGCTGTCGCTAGTTGGTCATTTCCATCGCAAACTAGCGACGGAATATCCATCACTAATTCTTACTCGATAAATTTATCGCTAATTTGTCCCTAAATCTGTCATTATTTGGCGATCCTATATATGTCTATCACAAAGAGGTTTAGTTTTTGTCACTAATTTGGCTACTAATCCGTCGCTAAATGAAGAATATATATAATAAAAAACACGATATATTATTTAATAAATTAAAATAATATAAATTAAAATCAAATAAATATATAAATGCATTAAGTTATATGAAAATATTAAAAACCTTCAAAAAAATCTAGTCATCATCATCTCCTGCATCATTTTTCAACTCGTTATGTATTGAGATGAACGACTAACTCTTAGGTTGTGGAGGGGTCAACATAAGAGATGCAAGTTTGTCTGCGAGTCTCGTACCTACTACTTCACTATCTATATCCGACTTTATAAAGTATTGAATTGATCGACATGTTTCTAAATTGTAATCTTCATCCCCTTGATCATATCTTCATACTAGGGAGAAACCTTCGAATATTACCCCTAAGATATAACGAAGTGGTAGAGGAGGAACTAATACTAGAATTGAAGTAAAACTAAGACGCTTATGATCTTAGGTCGTACATTCTCTAGTTCTTCTCATCTATAGCATCTAAATATATCTTGGTCATGCTCGATATTAATTTGGACAATCAGTCACTTTTTTGTTGCTCTTTAGCGACTACTTTGTACATTGATCGCATGCGCTCCTACATCATTGAAATAATTATAATATTAAATAATAAATGTAATTTTTTTGATTATATTGATAGATGTATATTTACAAAAAAAAAAAAAAAAAAACTTATCATTATTGTTTGGAATCGTCTATCGACGAATATAACAAATGAATAATAATTCGACTAAAAAGATATTATAAATTATTTTCATAAAAAACAAGTAAAATTTTGACAAAGTCTCTCCCGTAAATTATAATTTTTTCAATTAACGGATAATCCAAATAATCACAAAAATATTAAAATTAAATTAACCAACAACCAATTTATGCACATTGAAGATCAACATTTGCCCCATATACTTTATTGAAATCAAATTCTAAACTCATCCTCTCATCTCCATAACGAGCATTGAACCAACCTTATTTCTTCTTAATTTTCATTGGTCTCCGACCCTTCGGGTTTGATACGCTACAACGTATATTGACACTCTTCAACGATCATCAATAAAATAATTAAATTAACCCTAATTCAAACCTAATTAAATATTAGATAATCAATAATCCAAAAATTATAATATAAATAAAATTCTAAATAAAAAAATTAATCAAAAGTAACCTAATTAATTTAAACCTAAATCAAATTAACTTAATTAAATATAATTCAAACCTAATTAAATTTAAAACTAAATCAAATAAGCTTAATTTAATTTAATTTAATTTAAACCTAATTAAATTTAAAATAACAAATAATTAACAATTTTCAATATAAATAAAATTAAAAACCAACCAAATTAATAAAAATTAACCTAATTAACTTAACTCTAGTTCAAATTAACATAAATAAATTAACCCTAAATCAAACCTAATTAAATTTAAATAACAATTAATTAACAAATTAACCTAATTAATTTAACCCTAATTAATAAATTAACCCAATTAATTTAAATACCAATTGATTAAAAAATTAACCTAACTAATTTAACTCTAATTCAAATTAACGTATGTAAATGTTATGCTAATTGAAGCGTAATTAATCTAATTAATTTAACCTTAATTAACAAATGAGTTTTGTACATATCGAGACCATGTATAATTTGAAACAATTTTTATTGAGACCCTAAGTTTTTTTTTAAAAAAGAGTTTTACTTTTAGGTTGTTGTTGTTTCGGATCATAATGTGCCACGTAAGCATATGTGGCAAGCTTTAGACAATGACAACTTACCTCATGTTATAATACACCAATTCAATTACCCAATTTGGGCCCATCATGACATGTTGCAAGCTATCATTGGCTAGAGCTTGCCACCTATGATTACACGGCAAGCTATTATTTGTTAGTCTAAAACAACAAGAATAATATAAGAATAGAACTCTTAAATTGGATAGAAAAAAAATTTGAATCTCAATAAAAAATATCCAAACTTTACATTGTCTTAATATGCGTAAAACCCATTAACAAATTAACCTAATTAATTTAATTACCAATTAATTAAAAAATTATCCTAACCAATTTAACTCTAATTCAAATTAACCTAATTAATTTAACTCTAATTCAAATTAACCTAAGTAAATTAACCTTAATTAAAACCTAATTAACCTAATTAATTTAACCCTAATTAACAAATGAACCCACTTAATTTAATTACTAATTAATTAACTTATTATCCTAACCAATTTAGCTCTAATTTAATATAACCTAATTAAATTGGGTTTATCCCATAATTGATCCTCGCATTGTTTTAATTTTTTTTATTGAGACCCTCTAATACTTTTCAACTTGATTGAAATCTTATGCTTTTATAAATTTGTTGATCGAGACCCTTTGTTATGATATCATTAACCGTTCATCCTAGGTGGCAAGTTAAAACTAACGGTGACTAATCACACAATGACATATGGTAATGTGGCACTTTATCATGTCGAGTATAAATCAAAACAAAAATAAAAAAAGTTTTTAAATGATTTTGTCAATTAAAAAAAAAGAGTGAAATTAAAAAAAAATGAAAAGACCTAATTAACCCAACCCATTTAATCCCAAAGTAAATGAATAAACCAAACGAACAAACATTAGATTTAT